CCTGCCTCTTCTGAACAGCGTATCGCTAGAAACCTTTCCTGTTATTTTTCATGTCCCTCAACAAGTTTAGTTCTGGACAGATGATGAAGTAAGGAATTTCAACAGCGTTGGACCAGAAAGGTCCTTGACATGCACTTCTTCTTGTAAAGTGAGATTTTTTATTAGAATGAGAAATCATGTCACAGTGCCAATAACATGAAGAAAATGTTCTGTGATGATAAATAACTAGATAGGCAGGCATTTTGTTGTGGATGAGTGTGCATGCATGTTGACAACACTGAAGTAATCATGAGGACTCCTGATGACAGAATTGAATAAAAGATTATATAAGTAGTAACAGATGTTGTCTCCTGTGAGCATCGTGATAGTTTACCATTTTCTTCATTTGACATTACAATTTGCAAAAGCAGAGTACAAAGATTCTGCAAACCCTAAACAGACGCATCCAAGAAGCAGAACCAGCCAAGAACTGAGTTCCTATCAATAAGTAAACTGAGCAGAAAAGCAAACTTCTACCTGTTTTCAACCTTTCAACATGCTTATCTGGAAATGGACTTTTCCCCTTCCTGTTTTCTGCTCCGCCCCTCCTCTCTCCCCCTCCCCCCCTTTCCCCTAATTCAGGAGATGGAGCTCCTTTCTTGTTCAATGTGTAGCATAATTGTTCTCCCATCCTCAAAGAAGTCAGCTGTACTGCAGAGAATTAAAGATGCCCCAGTAACACAGATGCATAACGAAGTGCCTTTAATAAATCATAGTGTGGCTTCTCTAGCTCTCTGTTGTATCTGCTCCAAGTACGGGTGGATTTGATTGCTTTCACTAGTTCACTAGCCAGCATATAGCTGCCCTGCTGTCCTGGGGGCAGACAAAGGATTTTTGCCAAGAGTATGCTGGCTCTACATCAACCAGCATAAAAAACTTCCTTATCTTAGTTTTGTCACTCCTTATAACACTGATGAGAATATACATTTCTTTTTTTTCTTGTCTTTATTTATTCCCAGGAAATTTTGCCAAGGTGGAGGTAGTGATTGATAACTGCTCACAGCACTGCGCCTACATCTGCCTTGTAGAACAATGCTGCAGGAGCTCAAATCTTGCTGAACAGCCACAGCCTAGCTCTAAATCCACTGACACTACCTCAGTAGCAGAACACTTGTCAGCATTCCCTTGAGAGAATTAAACATTGCAAACGTAAATAAATCCACCTGGGGATTTCAGAAACATCAGGAGAAACTTTGGGATTGGGCTTGTTATTCTTCTCAGAGTAGTCAGATTTGCCAGTGGTGTCTTTATCAAAAAGCTACACCACCCACACCCAGTTTACTAGCACTTTGAACTAGAAGAATGAAGCTCATTTATATACATTGAAGCTAGATGTCATTTTGCCATTGTCAAAAGAGCACATTTACAAAACACGAATACTAATCAATTATATACTAGTAAATAAAAGTATGATAGGAATGGCAAGCTCTTGGCAAAGTTAAACATGCCTACAACATCTAACAAGGAAACTTCGCTTGCCAAACATGCACAGGCTGTGGATCAAAGACTAAAGGTTTCTAAGCCCCACCTTTGCACTGGTCTCTGTGCCTCATTTTGGACAAGTCCTGTGTTCCCTTGTTTGCTTCCATTGGATGAAGTGGGCAAACACTACTGCCATCTTCACGGTGTTTTAAGGAGATTTATTTACCTGCAGCATATTTACCTGTATGAATGTGTAACACATCCACCCAGGACAAAAAGGATGGGAGAAACAAAGTCTGCCTCTCTCAAAGTAAAACAGGATCTCATTGCCTCGTAACATCTGGATAATAAAAGTGCTGAACTCCTCCAAACCCACACAATTATGTAGCATAGCTGTTCTTCACTCCACACAGTTTTAGATTACCCTCTCTAGCAAGCAATACTATTACTTTTATCTTCCCACTTATCAACCAAATTTCTAAACTTTAAAGCCTATCATTTCTAGTTGGGTAACAAAATAGACAGCATAATTTTACCACAGTAATTAATTAAGCAAACATTGCACAACATTGCCATCTGAGTTTGTTAGTTACCGGATACCTTGTATTGTTTTTGTTAACCTAACTGAAACTTGAAACAATTAGGAAATGGAGCAACAGGGGCTCCTGAGCTGTAGATAGGAGCAGGCTGGAAGAAGAACCAAGTGAGGACAAAAATTGGATGCTGGCTCTTGGTATGGGGGGTCCATGAAAGATGGAAGAGGTTGGGTAGGGATGAACATGTAGGCAAGCAGCAGATGCCATTGGTGCCAGGTCTTCCATGGCATTTTGGGTTAGGTTTTCTGTATTACAAGGTTACTGGGAGGAAAGGGACAACATCCATTTATCTTTTGACCTTCCTATGTTCCACTCTCATGAAGGGAACATTTTCAGCCTTAACTAAAAAATAGTAAAATTATATGTTATCGTATTTTTTGAAACAAAAATGTTTAGGAAGATTGTCAAGGAAACTAACTTACATTTTTATATCAATTGGAGCTAGGCTGTCATAAAACACTGAGAAATAGCTGAAGTACTTGAGTGATGAAATTACGGAAAGGGCAGGGTAAAAGACCAAGAACATTGTCATAAATGAAAAGACAGTAGAAAATAGTGGTTACTGATTGAGAAATGGAAGACTTTTTTTTTTTTTTTTTTTTTTTTTTTTTTTCTAAAGAGAACTGAGGTCCTGTATGGATAGACGAGGGAAATTACTATCCTGAATGAATGGCATACACATCTGAGAGTCAAGAAACACCTTAGGCTGAACTTCAACCTATTTAAAGGGAGAAATTTCTAAAATTTACCGCGATGAACTCACTGAAACTTAGGTGATTCCTTAATGAAATATGTTTATCAACCACCTTTAGATTACTTTGATTCATTTATCGTTCTTTGTCCACCTATTTATTCTATTTTTCAATGTTTCTAAGTCTCACTTTGAACGCAATACAGTGAGGGGTTTGCCATTCATTCCTACTTAATAACTTATGGTATTAAATCAGTTGGAACTGTCTCTTACTTCTATCATTGCAATAGAATGGTCAAAACAAAATTTCCTCTCTTTGTTCCCCAATATTGATGAAAATGTTCAGGCAATTCCAGTGCTTAATTATCTCCTTTTATGTCCTTAGATTATTCATGTCAGACTCCTTGCAATCCATTTCCTGAAAATGCCATAAGTAATTATATCTCCCAACAGAGTTATCATTTACCTTCATTTTTAATCATTTTTACTGAACCATCCCTTTACAACTGCATTGCCTTCTCTTAGTTGCCTCCAGTTCTTCTTGCTAAGGAAACGCCCAGAAGTAACATTCCAGGAGCTGGAATTGTAAGGTGGAACAGTATTGCCTCATTTCTCTGTAGCCCACCCAGCTCTCTCAGTATGAAAGACACATGCATCCTATCTCTCAGGGATGCACCTCTTTGTTGCACTTCCTCTGCTGATGCCCATCAGCTCTGGAACAGTAGAAATTTAGAGCAGAATAATTTGCTCAAGGTAACTTAAGACAAGTGTAAACAAAGCTTTTTCAGCCGGCTTCATGTCAACGTGTCAAAACAGGATTGTTTTACATTTGTTGCAGCAACTCTCAGCATGTTGTTTCTTCCCCAGAAATCTGGCCTCTATGAGTGCCAAGTCCCAGTCTCCAAGATGGATGAATGCTGCTCTTCCTTCCCAGCTGCCGCCAGCTCCACACAGCAGGAGTTCCCCCCACGCTCCCAGGTGTACACAGGGTGTGACAGCACAGCTGCCTCCCTGTTAAATCCAAATGATGACCTTCAGCCATCCTCCCAGGCTCCCTGGCACCCTCCCGCCAGGCCCAGCTCCACACTGCACTGTCAGGAATCACCCATCGAGGAACTCATTTTAAGTCATATCTTTTAATCAATCTGGATAAATGTTGTCAGTGGAAAGTTGCTACTGCTCACAACCTCTACGACTTTTAACATATACCACATGTTCCTGCATTAAGGCTGGCTCACTCTGCATTAGCATAGAAAAGACGGACTGCAAATCCCTCCAACTGCTCTTAAAATCAAAAGGAATCTTTCCACTGAGTTTAACAAGAGCTGAGTTGAGGTCTTGTGACCCTGCTGCAGCAAAGTATTTAGACACAAGCCAAACTCTAAGCATGTGAAGAAGCCCCATGAATTCAATAGGCTTATCAGATGTTTAGGAACTCCAGTCAAGACTTCAGTATTTTTTTTAAGTTGCTGTAGCAGTGCCTCTGTTGTACAGAATAAAATCCATGAGAAAATTTCACTTGCTCCAATGAAAGGAGGAATAGATCTTGAATATATATATTGTGTGTATTTATATTTGTACATACGTAATGTTTATGTTTACATACAAGTACACACACATATATACATATTTTAGCCTCTCTTCTTCCTTTCACATTCCTGGAAGAAAAGCTTTCATCTGATTTATATCATAATCTGCAAAATACACTGCTTGTGTCTACGTACTTTTCACTAGAAAAAAAGGCTTCCTTTCAAATGCCCTTGTCCCAGTGTTGATGGTGTCATGGTTTTATGTTTTTTGTTTTTTTGGGTTTCAGTATTCCACATCAAAACATCATGCAGCGTACAGGGCATTAAAGTGCCCCAGTTCCAAGTACCTATCCCTGTACATTACAGCAGTCACGGGATCTGGCAGGTGGGGGGGTCGCTCTCTTGCTGCATTGCAGTGGGTGCTGGAGGGTGCTTTCCTAGCCGTTCCAAGCTTTTCAGGTTTGAATCGGTCCCGGGAACTCTCTCTTTCTCATCTTGTCTGATTTATTAGTTTCAATTTCAATTAAATTGTATTATATTGTGTTATCTTGTATTTTTCCGATATCATAGTAAAATAAGTTTTCCTTCATAGATTGTTGCTGCTGTTCTTTTCCTCCCTCCCTTCCTTCCTTCCCATTTTGTGGGACTGGGTAGGGAGGGAAGGGCAGAGGCCTACTGCCCCCCGGTCATGGGCATAGATTGATCTAGTCAACTCTGTGATAGATGAATGCTGTCTAAGCTGGGGCATCCTCACACAGTGGACGAATAAAAAGCCTGAAGAGCCTGAGAGGTGGAAATATTGTCCTTACAAAGGTAAAACAAGAAATAAAGGCACTTAGAAAATGTATAAAAATTTACCTCAATACCATCAAAAGGAAAAATAATTTCCTTTTCCTGCCTCAGGCAATATTTACTTAGATTGAAGTGTAAAAAGTACAGTGGAAATAAATGTCCTCTTTGTTGTCTGTAGAACCTTCAAGTAAATCTCCTTCCTATAAAGATGTTTAGGGGAAGTTTTAAGCCTTCTCCCTCCATTTTGTTTCCATAATTTCTCTCTTTTTCTTGTTCCATCAAAAACTGCAATGTGCAGATTTCAACCTAAAAATTCCCCACTGAAACAGAATGAATTCATGCATATATATGCTGATCAGCTGCAATTACGTGTGATTCAGAAAGAGGCAAGGCAGCACTTCGTCCATACAGTCTCCAAAAATGAAATGAAAATAACAGAAATTTACCTTGCGGTGAGGGCTGGTAGGTAGCACCTTCAGAAAGACTGAAGAAATATGTCCCCAGTTCTTCATCTTCTAAAGTAAAAGCCTGAATTGCTTCCTTGCCTCACTAAAGAACAGATTCCTCCAAACTCACTGCAACTAATTTATAGCAGTACAGAAACAGATGGTTTGGTAGATATAATTTTCTGTTTAACTAGCAAGTTCTTTTCGCTCTACTTTTATTTGATTCTCCACAATATATAAATAAAATGGTATAAAACAAATAATATCTGTGAACATCACTGCTTTTCCTCACCTCTGAAATACCCCATAACCTTCCATAACCTTACTTATTGCTATTTAACCTCATGTCAGGTTATCTTAAAACTTCTAGTTCAACAGGAAATAATGTCATGATAACAAATGCCTATTTTTGTTATTGCTGTTGTATTGTTGTTGTTGCTGTTGCTTTTTCAGCAGCAGGAAGGCAAGCAAAGAAGCAAACACTACAGTTCAGGAGTATTAAAAAGATTATGACAACTCTTGGGCTTTGAAGGGTTTTTTGGAGGCCCCTCCCTACTTCAAGTGAAAAACACATGAGAAGGCATCCAACCAGCACGAACAGGCTCTGGAACATTAAAATCAGAAGAGAAGAACACCATTTTATCCTAGCAGCTCTTCTGCTATAACCTCCCCAGGATCCTACTCCCCAGGAAGGAGGTCTGTGGATAATACAGGTGTCATGAACAGCAAATGTGACTTGTTTAAGGACGCTGGTTTCATCAATGACAAATCTACTTCTGTACCATTAGCAGCTGAAAGGTACTTCCCACAGTAGTCCAAGAACTAGCTCAGTGTTTTCTATGCATTGTGCAGTCTCTCATCAAGGACTAAGGAAGCACAAGTCTGCTTCCAGCAGGCATCTGTGGCTGATGAATTCTAGTAGTAAGGCCCAACAGTCATGATGCACTACAGCACACTTCTCATAGTTCTGCTAGGACTATGAATCAGGGAGCTAGAGTCTACGGCTTTGACTTCTTAAGAGAGATTTATTGTTCTCCTTCTTGTCTCCTTTCAACGTATCTGAGACGGAAGTGCCATGGTTATAATTTTGCATGGCCTACAAGAGTATTTGATAGTGACAGGCTTTTAGGATAGAGGCAGAGAACTGTACATGAAAAGAGATTTACTGCAGCTTTGCTGGTACTGAACTTTGGAAACAGTCTCAATAGTATATTGTCACCTCAAACATGTTTAGACAGTCTAGGAGAGGTAGCTGGAGGAAAACCAGAAAGCAAGTTAACAGCTACTGCTCTGAGACCTACTACTTGTGCTCATTCCCTAGCTCTTTCTGGACATCATCCTCTAGCCTAGATTAACCATCTCTTTTCCCCTCCAAAAAAGCAAAACCAAAAGAAACCCAAACAATTATATTATGTTGTTTCACTTCCATATCTATACATACTTTTTTTATGGAGCAGATATGGAGGTAGTCTGGATCTCTAGCCTGCATTCTGGATGAAGTCAAAATTTATAATGTTAATGGTCTCATTTCTTTCTCCATGAGAAATCACAAGGAGCATCATAGAAACCTATTTACAGACATAAACTCTTTCCTATGTCAATGCTTTCTCAGTTTTTTATTATGTGCAGGAGAATCAGTAGCCACAAATCAATGCCATCCTACACACTAGCATACATCCACATCTGAACCTTCACATGGGACTAAACAATTCAAAATCTCATGTAGGACAATTTAGCTGCAATCTTGATAGAAAGCTAGGCTATGTCTGAACTTCATGTAGTTGTTGTACGTTGAAGGCAAGCTTATATGGGACAAAAGAAGAGCAGAAAGTTATCACTGAGAAATGTCTTGACCATGCCCTCCATTATGAATGTCAAGCAGAGTGATATAAAATTATATACACAGACAGGGTAAGCTCAGCACTGAAACCAGTTTAGGCTAATGTGTGTCTTAGTTCTTAACTGACTCCAAGTACAGGCATCTTCAGTTACGGCTGATGGGAGTCTGATGAAGTAGATCTCCAGGGCTTTAGTCCTCATCTCCCACATGAAAAGCAGTACCTGTGAATGTTAAAATACCAAAGGTGGATACATTCCAATACTTTCTCTTTTTTTAAAAAATAACTTCAGGATCCAATGTTCAGTCATAATTCTGTAGCCATATCCCGATTTTTAGCAGCTTTTCTCTACATTATCAAAACCCACTAGGTTCTTACATGGCCCTCCAAAAAACATTCAAGCATGCGTGTAGTAGGCATCTCATGCATTGTATCTGATAAGTTTGAATATTTGTTTCCAACCATCTGATCTGGTTAACTAGTTCTTGTACATGCTGTCATTTCCTAGTATGTATTTAGTTTCTCCTTATCTAATGACTTTCAGGAGGAAACACTAATCTTGTACAGTCAGGATCTATAAAACATGATGCAGAAAAGTTAGTCTACCTTCAGCAACCTTAAAGCAGTTATACAGAAACCCACTATGGGGAGATTTCTAGCAAATTAAAGAATTGAAAGAAGTTATTTTCTGACCACAACCTACTCATTTCAAATGACAGCTATCATGGACTGATGCTATATATGATATCCATGTTCAGTAGCAGGTTTACCTTTATTTTTCTAGCATTTTTATACCAAGAATTTACATGTTCTTTTGTCATCAGCCTGAAAAAGAAAAGAGCTCACATCTCTAAAGCGTCCTATTTTTCATGGCAAATTTGATAAATAGATCAAAAACCTGAAGCCATGGAAGCTGTGGAGCAAAATTTATTACAGAATGATGAGATTAATGTTCATGTCCCTCTTCTTTCTAACCTGCCTACTACCTCCTTCACCCACCTCCCGGCAAGTCAACATGCTGTGTGAGTAGTCAGCCTGCTTCTGTGACTCAGAATCTCAGAGCATTAAAGCCTAAAGTTTGGCAGATGCCCAGGATAAAGAAATTTTCACAAATCTCCCACAAGGAACACTCTAATCATAGTAAGCTCTGAAGCCTTGAATGCGATGCTTCTTCCATATATAAATTCCCAATTTGCTTAATGGACTCTTCTGAAACTTTGCAGTATAATATTGCAAATGTTCTTCTAAAAATCCCAAGTCCTTCCCCAGCACATGACCAGCATATACATCTCATGAAGGAAAAAATATAATTTACTGTTCAATTCTGGCTTCTGCTGATAATTCTTTCAACACATAGTTCATTGGAAATTAAAGAAAAAATATTATGTTCAAGCTGTCTTTCAGGAATAACTCATCTTGTAATTGCCATTTCAACAATGGAGGAACATACTTACAAGAAAAGTTGTTGTTGATCTCCATATGGGTGACCTCACTGAAGGTATGTGGAAGTAAATAGAAAAGCAAACTATTTATTAATGGTTGGACTTCGTGAATTTCACACAGAAATTCAAATGATGTATTCTGTAACTGTAGCTATAGCCTGTAGCCTCCATTCTTGTAAGCTGTAAGTCATTCCCATGAGCATGTGTTCAGTTGCCTGCAACAAAACATGCACTCAGTTATCCTGGTTTCTCATATGATATGTGACAATACTGCATCCTAGCAGCTGCGCTCAGTGCAAGGGAATTTTCAAATAAATGCAATTCCCCTATTTTTGTAAAGAGTGTGAAAAACACCTTCTTAAATCCAGTTTTACTGCATATGTGTATCTATTTATTTATGCTATGTTGGAACTGTAGAGAAGAGTCTTGATTTTGTTTATCAAAGATCTATAAACTTACATTTATATTCAATATTTACAGTTTAGATATCCAGGAGAACACATCGTATAGAAATTATTCTCCTTATTCATCCCCATAGTTATACCTTACTGATACTTTACAGACAAAATATATATTAAGTGTACAGCTACAAACAGTGAGTTCAGAGGACTTTTCAGCTGATATAAATGATCCTTTTTTTTTTCTTTAATATGCAGGGTACTACACCTCAAAATTTTTTTTCTAATTATTTTGGGCTTTATTTGTTCTTTGAATATTTTTCTTTGAGCAGAACTCTATCTTAGTCTTAGAAGAAAGAGTGTTCTGTGGCAGTGTTGTTAGTTCTCTGGAAAAGAAAAGCCACTGAAGGCAGAAATGTCAAAAGAAGCGCAAAGGCCCGCAAAGAAGGGCAAGGCATTACAAACTCGACAAGTTATGCAGTTTAGGCACACAATACAAATTACTGCAAATGGACTCTTTTTGGACTCTGAATACAGGTTTTTTTGTCTCATAAGGCTGCATGTTAATCACAAAGCAGCTGTATGTATCACAGCAACTGTATGTATTTGTTTTTTTTTTTTTTTTTTTTTTTTTTTAAGGAAACGTGGCCTGTAGTCTAGCTCTGGAAGAGGATAAGGGGACTTAAATCCAGTAAAGACTGAAGAGTTCCCCATCTAAAGCACATAAAGTAGGGAGCACCTACTGCCAAACAGTATTAACAGAGCATAAAAAACCTATTGCTCAAAATACTTACTTGCTTCAAATATGATAGCTGTAATTATTTCAGCTGCTTATTTACATTAATAGAAAGTCTTTTCCACATTCTCCAGCTCACACATCTGCCCCACAGAAATCCCTTGCTTAACCATGTATGCTGCAGTCCAAGGCAGGACTTGAGCTACCACAGTTCACCTTTCAGGCATCTAAACTTTCCATCTTTTTGGATGACTGAAACTCAAATCAGTACAGCTCCCTCTCTCATTTCTTCTTTGCATTGCTATGGTTTGCTCATGCTAAATAACTGCTTTTCTTTGTAATGGTTTTTTTTACATCAGTGGACAAAAATGCCTTTTAAATTTTATTTTTACTTTTTTTGAAGCATGGAAAAATTTGCGTCTAGAACACTCCATGCAGACATCTCCCTGAAATCTGGCACAGTCATTAAAAAAGCACACAATGCACAATTCAGTAAATGTGGGAAATACAAGTTTTGGTGAGTCTTGAGTCATAACTTGCGACATTAATGAATGAGATGTCCAAAACCCACCACTTCCAAATTCAAGACATATGAGAAAATCTTTCCCTTAAATGGTTCTGAATGGTTGCCAGTGGCCAATTCTCCATGTCCTAGACAACAGACAAAACTTCAAGATCCACTCAACTCTCTTGGTAGGAGTGGCATGCATACTTCTTGTGGTAGTAAAATTACCACTCAGAAATTAATTTGTTCCCTTCATAAAAATGAATAGTTTTGTTTTTGAAAACAAAATCATTGCTATCTAAACCCCACTTGCCCTCCAATTTCAATCCATTATTTTTGACAAACACATGCTGCTAAGAAGCAAGAGAAGATAAAGGAACAATTCAAGAGCTAATGAAAATTAAGCCCTTTGGTTATACTCGTAGAAGAACGATAGCGATCTTCTCCCCTACCCAGACTTAATAGCAGTCTTTCATAAACTTTCCATTAAGATCAAATGAAACATTGAGCATTGCTATGTTAATGAAATTCTTCACAGCTCCATTTCTCTCAGCCCAGTGTTAGTACTAAGCATCTAGAAAGCTTATTTTAAAAGTAAATTCAATGGTACTTGCCATTATATATCTACTATCTCATTTTCATTTAACCACTAAGGCATAACGATTGTCTAAAATGAGCCTGTTTCAGAAGCCATAAAGATTATTTGCTAAAGTTTGATAATACTCACATGGCCATGAGCATTAATTTCAATGAATATTCAATACTATCTACATGGCAATATCCTGTCATTAAATAGCCAGCTATTCATTTGCAAGACACCGTAATCTTTTTATTAAGCATCTTTTGCTATCTTATACTCTCCTTTCAACTAACATAATTTATGAGCATCTAAATATGATCTATTCATAGCATTTAAAATAGAACATGTTTCAAAATTGGTCAGATCATTCTTGAATTGCCTCTCTTTATATCCTGGATTTTGAGATATTTCTTTTGTATCACATAAGTTAACGGTATATATAAAAATATTAGTTGTAAAAATATTTTTGTTGTAATTCTTTTTTGTAAACCAATTTCACTGCTCCCTCAATATCATATTAGACTGTCATTTGGACAAATGCAGCCCTCACAGAAGCGAATAAATCACATCTCAGTGATGTGACATTGTTCTTGCCCTTATTTCATATCTTCTCTATGTTGAGAGCCTCATTGCTGAAATGGAAGAGAGTCATAGATTAGCGCATGATTGCATGGGCCTCTGGAGCTTATCTGGCCATACTTCCAGACTGCAAAGGTCCTGCTACCTTTGCTGCTACCTAGCATTGACTTGCAGCCTTTAAATCACAGTTCTGTGCCATCTGTAAACTTTGTAAACTTTAAGTCCCATTGTCCAAGTCATTCATGAGGATTCTAAATATTATTTGTCCCACATACAACCTTTAGGAAAGTCATCAGTACTCAGTAACCAGCTGAATTTAGAATAACTAATCACAACACTTCAAGAGCAAAAAGCAAGCCAGTTTTCACCCACCTTGTACTCTACACACAGTCCATATTTCCATATTTTTTGTTTATTTGTGACTCCATTTTCAGTCAAAGTACATTAGTTGCAAATTTTCAAAGGGTATGTATAGACTTCCAATGCAAAATTTGATCATGACTTTTTACTGGATTTTTATATTTCCCAGAGAGAAATACCTCTCACTTCATAATCTGCCTTATTCATGTCGTTTTTGGCAGCACACAAATTTGTGAACAACTGTTTTCAAGTTTCAGGAAGCATCAAATTTCATCAAAAATCTCTGATGAGCTCCTTGACAGCTCATTAGACTTGCAGCTACTCCCATCAAACAAGCCTGATACATTAGTTTCACAAAGACATGGTCAAATATCCCACTAGTTTTATGGTTCTGTCACTCTCTTTTTTATATGTTTTAATTTAAAAAATAATAATTTGTTTTGTTATTTATGTACATTCACTATATTATATATTTTATGAGGGCTGCTCTGAAAGTAATGCTTCCTATTTTATTATTGTTGGCCCACAAAGTCTAGGGTGGATGCTGATGGTATGGCAGTAGAAGTTGATCCTTCCCATCAATATTCCATTATGTTTTGTTGTCATGCAACAGATGACAGCAGAAGGGCAGTCTGACAAAACGGCATCTGACATGGAAGTGCGAGTGGAGCAAAGGTGTGGAAGTGAGTTCCTCCACACAGGAAAAATTGCACCCACTGAAATTCATTAAAGCTTGCTGAACTTTTATGGAGACCAAACAGTGGATTTGAGGTAGAGGGAAGAGCATTTCAGCAGTGCTGACAGTGGCTGCAGGTAACTGTGAGCACAGTGTGCGGGCTCTTGTTCATCACTGGTGAAAATGCAGAGCTAATGGTGATGATTGTGTTGAAAAAGTTTTGTAGCCAAGAATTTGTCTTACCAGATAGTGTTTTTATGCTCTTTGTATTGGTTATATTTTCCATGGAAATAATTAGGAGCATTACTTTTGGGACAACCTTCATAGATGCAGCCCTCAATTCATCTTCACTCAGTGTGCCCCAGACAAGCCATAAGCTTGGACAGCTATACTTTGCTCTTCAGGACGGTGCCTCACATGATCTTACCAAGGATATTTCCTTGAACAAGCCCAAGCGCATTCCTTTTTTCCACCACAGAGTTCCACACGCTTGAGCTGCTCCTTTGCACAAAGAACATCTGCACACTTATCAACCCTCACATGCCACCCAGCTAGTCTGCATTCACCCACAGCAGCTCTGCCACCCTGTCATCTCTGCAATCTCTGCAAACTATCCCTCTGTAACTCTGTAATACCAGTAATATCACTGATCAGCGACTGCGCGCAATCTTCCACCTCCTCCTGTTTGTTCTCCAAGCTGAGTGTGCTTATGTTCAGGTGAATGCAAAAGGCCCACAGCAGCCTGTGTTTGAGCCTTTTTACAAAAAGGAAGCACAATTATGCCTGCCTGTTAAAGCACAACAGGACAACCTTGGGGTATTTTTTTTGTTTGTTTTGTTTGTTTATATATTTTTTTAACTCTCAGATCTGTGCTTTTTTCTAACCAACAGCTCCACGACTAGCACACTCACACAAGAGTTGGGAACCCTGGGTCCTATGGTCTGCTCAGCCAAAAGGAGTTCAGCTCTCCTCCCTCTGTCTGGGAGAATGCTCTAGCGAGCAGATGTACAGACTATGTGAGGCAGAAGAAATTGCGGTGCTTTTAGTACTTTCTACTGGAGCTGTTCCACCTTCATAAAGGAATTCAAGATTTAGTAGGCCAAGAATGTTACTTTCCAGCCAAACCATTAAGGGCACTCTCTGGGAAATAGGAAAACCTGGGTTCCAAACCCTGCTCCAAGAGACTGTGTTTTGCTGTTTTTTTTTTTTTAAATTAAGCAGT